CCCTTTCTCCCAGCCTTGCTGCATGTCCTCGAAGGAATCAGTGCCCAACTGGAATAGGGTCTTTTATTCTGTGCTGGGCTGGCAGGCTGCTTTTTGCAGCAACAACAAACATTTCACCCACATTTTCTCTCTCTCAACTTGGTTTAAGCTACAGAACAGTGGTTGGTGCCTCTACTGTGAATGTACCCCATAAATGTGGGCATTTATGTTTCTATGATGTACAGTGCACTGCAGATTTATTAAGGTGATGATACCTTGAGGAGCAGGATTTGCAGCTGCTGTAAAGCCACTGTCACCCAGTGGGGATGTTATCATCGTTCTCTTTTTCTTTCATTTTGAAGGGCCACGGACAGATCCTCTTCTCACTTACCCAGTGCAACACCATCCATTTCAGTGAAGCTACTATTACTTTGCACTGCCATAAAATTAGAACCAGGCCCTTTGCCTGTCCTTGTCGGTTGAAGAAGGAAGGGCAGTTCTGCTTTCAGAGTAAAAGCTGCCTCTTATGACCCTGAGTGTACTTTGTCAGTGTACAGCAGCCCTTATTATCTTGTTGCAAGATCATGCACACTCCTGGGAGCTTCTGCTTGTGCAGATGTGTCAGATGAAACCAGAGCATGCTCCAGATGAGCACCTCCATCTTTTGCTGAGGGGGTGGGTGACATTTCTGTGGTGCATTGTAAAAAATATGAAGACGAACATGAAGACTGTGCACACACCTTCACTTGATTATGGGTTCGGATACAAGAGGTTACTCTTCAGGTTCTTTTCATAGATGGCATAAATAAAAATGTCTAAACACGTGATAGGCAAGGTTTTTGAACCTTGTCTGCCTATGTGCTTAGACCAATACGGCTACAACCAACACCCCTGTCAACACATGATGCACAGGGAAGCAAAGTGTTATAAGATCATCCTGCTTGGCTGGGGTGGCTTTCAGATTATCCTGATTCTTGCAGTCCATTTGCTCTCAGTTGAGAAGACCAGAACTAGAGATGAGCAAGGGATCGGACTTTTGTGCCCCATTGAACCAAATGGTGTATCCCCAGCTGAGATGCCCAGAGCCTGTATAACTGAGGAAGAGCCCATTATGTTGGAGCCACTGATCTGGCTCATCTATATTCTCTGTGAGCCCCGCCAGGTACGTTTCCAGAGCAACCAGCTTCAGAATATGCCCACATGAGGTTAAAGCTAATATTTAACTGGGGCCTGCACTGGAGAGGTGTCAATAGATCCCAGCACAGAAAGGCTGCTCTCCCTGGGGAAAGCAAACACACTTTTCATTCAAAACCTTGGCAGAACAGGCAACCAGGTGCTGATTTTCTGGAGAACTGTGGAGGGGAGCAGGAAGATGAAAATAGCTGACATCTGTGAATAGTATCTGAGCTAGTTATTCCTGCAGGGGCTAAGAAAGATGATTGCATCATCTATGGGAGAGAAGAGGGGGGGAAATGATGAATATGGACTGATCTCTAGGGATGTACTTACAACAAGCACAGCCTTTTAGTTGTGAGCTGCAAGGTGCCTAATCTTTCCAGTGGTTATTTCTGCTCATATATCCATGACTGTACTCCCTGTCTTCTTGCCAGCAAGATTGCTAGCCTCGTTCTCCCAGGCCCTTGAGAAAGGTACATCGGCTGTTCCTTTTGGCATGTGAGATGGGGAGGGAGAGCATTACACAGCAGCTCATTCGAAGCAGAGAAGAGCTCATGCTGCTAAATTTGGAATTGGATTTTAACTACCCAAACTCCAGGTTTTTAGTTTGGTCTCCTTCTTTGGAAGAAGATGACATCCTGCTTGACATCCACTGACCATTACGTAATATAATAGATAGCTTAAATCTCTCTCTCTCTCTCTCTCTTTATGTTCCTGAGCCTCTTGGGATGATTTTGTTAAATCATTATTACAGTTGTGTGTACAACACCCAATGAAAAGGGATCTGTGTCCATGATTGAGACTCTACCATAAATCGTTCATAATGAACCCAAACCCTCCACCAGGTCTCATTTCCTTCAAATGATTAAAGGTCTGGAGGAACTTTTGTAAGGTGGGGGATTGGAAATCAAGGCAGTGCTTTAGTCTTGTCGAAGTCAATGCTAAGTGCAGATTAAGTGAGGTACTGGATCAAAGCTCCAGGACTTTCAGAGCACAAACCAGAGGAACGTCTAATCAAATAAAAGGGCAACACATTTAGAGATGATGGGGCAGACTGCAGAAGGTTAATTCACCTGGTTATTCTCCTTGCCTCTGCATATTACTGAGGCTAATAACTGAGCTCACAAAAGGGTTAGTCATTGGTGTGCACAATGAGAATTTTGCTGACAAAAGCTGACAGTGGGGTCCTAAAGCACGTAGCACAGGAAGCCAGACTGAGACAGTGGTCAGCAGGTGTTTTTATTTTGCTACGTTCATGCAACCCAGAGGCACATTCACTCTACAAAGGTGTCTTTACTGGCAGCGCTGGCAGTGGTATAGAGTGATAGTTCCATGACGTTACAAAGGAAATTCATGCTGGGGATTATGTGGGGTCCCCAGAGAAGAAAAACCGTGGAGATACAAATAGCTGCATTTTAGCCGTCTCCAGTGCTTTTCATTGTAGGAACATAAGCACTTTGAAGTACCCAGTACCCCTGTGAGTTAGGCTGACATTATCCCATTACAGAAGGGTGGAGTGTCATAAGAGAATGCAGCTTTGCATGGGCTGCCTCCAACTCTTTATAACCCCCTGTTTATAACATGTAAAGAGGTAAAGTGACTCTCCTTGGGTCACATAGCAGCTTAGTTAGTGGCCTAGCCAGGGATAGAGCCCAGGAGTCCTGGTTTTCGGTTGCCTGCTATAGATTATGCGGCCGCTCTATAGCTTAGGAATGGCTGCACGGTGGGGCTGGGACCCTGGGGTCTTGTTGATCCTCGAGGTGATCGAGTGATTCCTGTGTGATAATACATCTGTGGTTCTGTAAACACTGCACAGGTTCAGAGCGTGTAACTGCTCCTCCTATTCCTCATTCTCCACCTCCTCGTCGCTGCCGTCAGTGAGAGGGAATTCCCTCAGGGGCTTCTGAGTGGCATAGCATTTGGTGTGCATGGGGCATTCCT